CTGCAGTGCATTCAAATTATTATTCAGTAAATATTGTTGGAAGGATCTGTCACAGTGACAACAGATGAAAACATTCAGTTTTGCTATTGTTCCTCCATAGTGTGACAATCTATGTATATATATTGAGCACGTGTTTTGCCATGGTACTTACTCCCAAAATCAGATTTTACTTTTCTATGGAAACTAGCCTAGTAATTTATGAGAGAACAGGAGGCAAGCAAAACTCTTCTCATCTGTATTTCTCAGCAGTAAATCAAAAAAAACATACAAGTTTAGGAACTGTTCCTCTTGCTTTTTGCAGTGCTGCAGGACCGGCGTTGTCTAAGTTTGTTGCTTCATGAATTACTTGGTCTTGCAAACCAGGAAAGACACACAGAAGCTTAAAATGTTTTCATATTTATGTATAGTTTATAAATATGTGTATATGTGTTTATGTACAGAAAATTATCTAACCCATTTATGCTAGGTTATAAATTAACTCTGTTTTCAACAAGAGTTGAAATTAAAGGATGCAATATCCCATAGTAGAGGAAAGCTCTCTCTTTTTACAACTGCACAAATGTCAGCTGCTCAAAATGGGCAGAATGACTAAAGGATAATTCTCTGTTCCCCACCCTGGTGCATGAGAAGTGCTGCAGTGTGGGTGGTGTACTCTTGCCATGTATTTTTGGGCCACCAGTATGAGACATACCACTCAGAAGATTACAAAAATATTTGCATCGATATCTTTTTATGGAGTCTTTATCTTTATATAGGTCTTTCAGTCTGCTGCTTAGTGTAAACCTGCAATATGAGAAAATATCTCAAAAAAGCTAAAAAAAAGAAAAAAAACACTACCAAAATTAAATTTACACAACATGAACATGCCCAGTCTGGTTTTTTTATAGTTACTTTCAGCAGACCTGCTTATAAGTCCTATGTGTTGATATGCCTCATTGATAAGAGACAGCAGAGTAACAAAACATGAAGGATTTTTCATAAGAGGCTTGAACTTAGCATAATTTAATTTGTACTTACAGCTTAAAGATAAACTTGGTGTTTATGCTGTGGCACAATATTAAGTGAGTAGATCAAATAAAATAAAAAAATAATTGTAGTTTCAAGGCTGATGCACCAGTATTTGTTATTGTTGAGACACAAATTTTTTTACAGGTGTAAAAAATCTAATAAAATAAAATAAAATAATATCAAATTTATTGAGAATGATCTTTAATACTATTTAGGAACATTTAGGAACATTATACATTTCACATAAACTTTTAGACTTGTTATCTTTAGTAAAGGCACTAAGTTTCTGGAATTAAGCTGATCCTACTAGCTACATGATGCTAAACCACGTTTCAGTATCATTTAAATGAACTATAATTATAGTTATAGTTGAATCCCAACACCTGCCTTAGCTGATTACAGTAAAAAAATCAACAAATAAGCACAGCTTCAAAGGACTAAAATTAAACCTAACAAATCTCTATGAATACTCCAGCAAAGCTGTGGGAAATTGATTAGAAAATAGCTCAGTGAGATATGTTGTGAGGCAGACAATATAATATTCCTTTTCTATTACATGGTAGAACAGAGAAGCTTTAAAGCATGAGCTTTAAAATGGCAATTCTGCTGGTGTTGAATTGTCCTTTGGCTGGAATAACACCAAGAAAACAGGTTTTGCAGCTCTCCTGGTCCTCTATCCCAAATAAGTACAGGTAGACATATCCTACAATCTTCTGATGCCATCATGTAGACAGCAGGCAGAGTTAGAAGAGGGCACAAAGAAAGCTCCCAAGTTTCCCATATTTACCACCTCCTGAGATTGATTTTTGTTTGTTTGAAGCAAAATCACATGCTTCTGATGTGGAAAAATTAGAAAGAATCCTAATAACCATTCTTGTTATTGTTATAAAAGAGTTAACACTAGTGTTATCTAGCATGCAATGTTAGTTTACTGATAGCAGCACATTTATCTTTTAATGCACTGTGGATTTTAACGGGACAGAACTTTTTTTTTTAAGAATCTGATGCAGATTCTGCAAATCAATCATGTCTTAAATTGTCAGCTCTTATTCTAAACTTAACATTCAAGCAACACAGCTAAACCACCTTTGTTCTGAACTCAGTGGGATGTGAAATGCCAGCATAGCAGAAAAATACCATTTCTTCATGTAGCAGACCATCAGACCATCAAAGATGTCAGGATTAATATGAAGTGGGCTGTCAGAAGTACTATCTGCACTGAAAAAGCAGATAAACAGATTTCAAAATGGGAGTTAAATGCTTTTTCTTTTAAAGTATTAAAGACCAGCTATAAGTTCATTTCTGTGTCAGAAGTAAAAACTACACCATCTGGTAGGACAAGGAAGCTTTTCAGTCTCTAGTCACAGTGAATGCAGCTGGCTCTGCTGAAGATTGTCTATATTGCACATTGCAGTACAATGTAGAATTTCCACAGTTATGTATAAAAGAATAAGCTTGAATGCTGGGAGGAATAAAGCTACATTAGTTAAGATTCCTGCTTGGATTAATACATACTGCTTTTCATCATAAGGTTTGTATATTGAAATTCCAATTGGATTATCTTTAATGGGAATGTTGCTATAGAGCTTCCAGTTTCCAGTCTAGTGCCAGCATGACACTGTGCTGGGATATCCGGAACCTGGTTTCATTGACAAAATTAGCACAGATCATCATCTTGAGTATGTGCTACTCCAGTTATGATAAAGCCAATTTACCTACACACTATTAATCTGAAGAAGTCTGTTGCTTATCACAAACCCAGGCTGAGGATGTTGCAGAGGGATTGCCAAGGCGCCATCTCATGGGAATTATTAGCTTTCCTGGTAACTATTAACTAGTAGAACTTTCCTGCTTGCAAGGAAAAAAAAAAAAAAAAAAGTGTGAAAAGCACACTTTCGTGCTTCCAAAGATATTGAAAACCTGGAGTGTAAAGCCACCACAACATTTGGCAGGCTGGAGCACATAGTGTGAAAGCTGATAGACCTAAATTTGTTCACTTTGGAGAAAAGGAGGTTCATGAGGACCTCCCTGGTTTCTTTGTTATCTTATGGAAGTCTATACAGGAGATGGAGCCGGAATCTTCACCATGCAGACTGCAAAAAGTGTCAAGAAAACAGACACAAACTTCATCAAGGTCATCAAACACAGGATAGTGAAAGGAAAAAAACTCTTAACAGTGAGTGCAGTCAAACATTGCAGCAGTGGTCCAGAGATGCAGCAGGGTGTCCATCTTTGGAGATATTGAAAACTCCAGTGAGGCTTTGGCAATGATCTGACTGAAATTAGCCCTACCATGAGCAAGGGTCTGGACTGGGTAACCACCATGAGCCCATTCCCACTGAAATTATTCTGTGTGTCTGTGATTTTTAATGGACTATGGAATTTTACCTGGCCTTGAGATGTACATACTCATATCCATTTATCTAAACTCTTTTACCCTCAGAAAGTAATCATATGCATGCTAAACAAGGAGACAGTTCCTGGCTCATGCTGTCAACTGAACCATTTGGGGAAAGGGTAGCTGGAGCAGGCCCAAAGCACACCAGGGATGTTAGCAATATTAGTAATATTTAAGACTATGAAAGTTGATCAGCTTTTGGTCAACCCTGTGGTCTGGTTTCCCCCTTTAGCTATTACCCTGTGCATAATTATGCTAATGACAGTAAATAATATAGTTTAAGATCAGATGTGATCATCTAGGTGAGTTCATCCCATCTGCATGTTTTATATGTAAACCATTTGAACAGTTGCTATAGTGTCTCAATTCCATTAACAGATTTTGTCCTATCAGTATGTAAAGATGAATTAGTAAAGTGCCCCATAAGTATCACTAGTAGCTGAAAATAGCAATGTATGTCATGAATATTTAGAATTCGTATCTTAAAAAAACTCCCATGTTTTAATACAAATATGTAGTTTTTTTGGTTTTCCTGAGAATGACTTGAATTGAAAAAACACTGTCTAAACAGAAAGTGTGGCAATTAATTTCTTTTGAAACACAAAGGTCTTTGGTACAAAGTATTTATCCACAAACTGGTTTGAAAGCCTTTTTTTTTAAGTTGTCATAGACCCAAATTCTGCTTTTAGAGTGAAACCTGTGACTACGCTGTAGCATGTAGGAAGTCATTGAAAGTTTATAAACTTATAATGTTACAATTTGATTCAAACTTTTTAGCACTTCTGTCTAGATTTTTTTTGACAAATCATTGAATAATCTCAATGCAAAGCTTTATTCTAACTTCCTTTTGATGCGTTTTGTATCACCAGCTGACTGGTACTCAGCATGTAACACTAATGAGTGGCTGACTTTGCAGTATGATCAGAAACCATTGTTTTTTGAGATAAAAGGCATCTTGAGCTCAGCCTTGCAAAGTGCATAGTATTCTGGCTTCAGTCTTGCCAGCTTGATCAACATATACATGATATTAAACATCTGAGTCAGCTCACAAAAATAATGGCATTGCTCTTGCATTCAAAGATAAGCACAAGCAAAATTGTCTGTCTGAGCACAGCACACATCATCCCACAGGACTGGCTTTCTACCTTATGTGCTTATGCATGAGCATCAACCTGTCAGCTACTCTACTAAACCACAGTTTAACTCTTAGCAGAATGGCTGACAGCAGCTTGGGAAAGATGAGTTACAGTACGTGTCAAGAATTTGTGTTACTGTTTGCTAAGAAGATGAAAGAAGTCATACCAGCAGCTGATACTGATGTGCAAGCATAACCAATTGTCTGTATTGTAGATTCATACAGCACTGATCAAGTCAGAGGGTGTTTCCTGCAGGTTAACAGATGGCTCATAGTCTAAGCCCATTTACAGTTGTAGTGAGAAGGATAAAGGAAGTTTGATAGTGTTGCAGCTACAGTGCTAGAAATACATGCTATCCAGAACAATGCTTGAAAACAGAACTGTGTGGCTGGTTACTCTCTCACAGCCAAACAGTCAAGACTGCTGTTCAGTGAAGATGCAGTCAGACCCTTCTTTCTTCAAATATATATACAAGCCATGATTTTTGGTGCTTTTACAGAGCTGCAACTTGTTTTTCCTCTTTTGTCCTTTATTCAGGAAACGTATTTTGCATCAGACCAAAACAGACTACTTGGGCTAAAGTAACGTCATGTCTTTCACTCTGTCATATTACTTGCTGCTCTTATTGCAAATTTTAGAAGTGAACCACATCATTACTTTTCATCAGTTTATTTGATAAACCGACCTCAGCTTCACATACAAAGATGTTGGAAGAACCATGCAAAGCCTGCTCTTTCATCAGGCGTTTCCAACTGGAAGTGCAAAGTTTTAGAATATTTTACTGGTGTTTTTGAAATCCATGCAGCTGATGAGAAACAGATAATGCGAGTTGCTGCAGCACAGGGTGCTTTTCTGTCCTATCCTGCAAGGCTGGATGTCCTACAGTAAGGGTGAGGGTTGTTGTGCACGCTCCTCCTTTAGCACATTGGCCAAGGCAAGCTCCCTGAGGGTACATTACAAATAAGAGGATGGTGATGAGTTAGGATACACACTACAGAAGAGGGTGCTGATTCTGAGTTAGCAAGTCACAGACCTTTCCTGCTGACTCCACCATCCATTAAGAAAATGCTTGATCTCTCTCTCTCTCATCTGGCATTTCAGAGTACACTGTGGGAAAGACAAATTCCAATTGAAATTCAAGCCAAGTAAAACAGAAGAGAAAAATGTTTGCTGTGAACTGAAAAACTGGGTTAGAAGTTTTTGTAGATGGAAGGGGCTCCAAAGGGTCAAACTTTTTAAATCCTTCATACAGTTTGACAAATAACTAAAATTAACAATGAACTTAAAACTTCCATATTTTTTTTTTAAACTTTTGCAGTTCTGCTACAGCTTAGGATATTTACCACTGTTTAAAATAAGTAACTTGTCCATAATATGATTGGAAAGAAAATAAAACAAAATCCCAACAACCCACTTTAAGTCACTTGGTAAAGAAAACAGTGCACTTACTTATTTTCATGTAATATGCATATATATTTTTAGTATTTTAATATCCCCAAGGACATTTCTATGCCTATAGCTGTGTAAATATCTAATGATATAATATCTAAATAGCTGTATAATAATATTTATTAGTTAATAAATATTATAAATATTTAGCTAATAATATCTAAATAGCTATATAATATCTATTGCATGCTATTGCTGTGTCTGTAGTGGATACTAATAACAGAATTTGAGAACAGTTATAGAGTATCACCCAATTAGCTGGAATATGCACAGTGAGTTGTCTGAGACAAATTACTTAATAAATCTGTAGAAACTTTCCTGGTGGCTGATAAAAATTTGCAAGGGAAACACTATAGCACATTTGTGGCAATGAGACATTTGAATGATGTACATTCTTAATATTTTTTCTCAGGATTCGTAGCTTTTATTTACACTGACTAACTGTGCAGCAGGCACCAGAGATAGCAAAATGAAAAAAAAAAATATTGGCAGGTCGCCTGGTAATATTGCTAATGGATGACATGCACAAGTATTAAGGAATAGGACTTCTATGATTATTTTAATTTGCCTATATACCAAAATTAAAACAGGAAAATATGGCTGGGCAAGGAATTCTGAATATGCTGGTGTTCATTTAGGGTTGCAAGTTCAAGGGCGGTTCTTGGGTCTTATTTTTAATTTGCCAGGAACTGTTGGACCAAATGATTCTTTAGGTATCTTCCACCCTGGTATTCTGTTCCTATCATATTAATTTCTGTCAGTATATAGCTCATGTCAGAATACCCCTGGCCTTGGAATTAGCTGGTCTTTGTTTATACTGACAGCTATGACTGACCTAAAGATCTTCCTCAAATCCATATTCAAATATCATTAATAGAAGAGCTCCTCCACAGTGCCCCTGGAAAACCACCTGGTATCAGGTAACCAACATTCCTATTTGTCAAATTTTTTAAATTTCTGTTAGAGTTTTCCGGAGTGCAGGATGTTTTTATTAACATAAAAGTTCATTCTTGCAGCTCTTCTCTTCCCTGCCTCTTCTCAAAGCTGTTTTTAGGTGGACATAACTCAGAAAGGGAAAGGAGTCACCCTCAGACTGATCACTGGAAGTCTTACCATGAGAGTTTAACCATATCACAAAGAGGATGAGGGGACTGGAGCACATCTCTTAGGAGGAAAAGCTGAGGGAGCTGGGCCTGTTCAGCCTTCAGAAGAGATGATTGAAGAAGAGGGGATCTCATCAAGGCACACATTAAAATGGCAGGTGTTCAGAGACTGGGGCCAGACGCTTTCCAGGGATGACCAGCGACAGGATAAGGGGCAATGAGCACAAACAGAAACACAGGGAGTTACATCTGAAAATGAGGAAAAAAATCTTTCCTCTGAAGGTGACAGCACTGGAACAGGTTGCCCAGAGAGGCTGCAGAGTCTTCTTTTGCAGAGATTCTCAAACACCATGTGGATGCAATCTTGTACAACCTGGTGAATCTGCTGTAGCAGGACAGCTGGATTAAATGATCTCCAGAGATCTTTTCCAACCCCAACCATTCTGTGATTCAAGGAGAAGGGACAAATGCAAAATAAAGTCTTTGCATGAGGGAGAAATGCAAGAAAACCTTTGTCTAAGCAAAGACAAATTTATGTTTACATAAATTTGCATTCAGTCAGGTACACAAACAATGCAACTTAAAATAATTTAAAATAGTATTAACCAGTTAAAAATAATACTTCTTAATGAAACCCAGAGAACACAACATTGAAATTGTGCTCAGAAAGACTACTTTTTTCTGTGTTTTTTTCATTTTTCATCAGGAATATTAAAATACTGCATTTCTTTCCATATTGTTTGACTTGAATTTGGAATACTGTATTTCATTTGACTGTCTCCAAGTGTTTAACGTTTGTCATTTCAATACTTTCAGGGGTGAGGGAGAGGTCTGCAATGGTGCCACAGGTATTGTGTTATGGAAGAAAATGTCTAATTTATTTCCTCTATAGTGGCATTCCTGGTTGAACTATGCCTTCAATAAAGATGGAGCAGATTACTTCTGCCTGAACATTAGAGTGCACAGGAGAGTCAGCAGAGCTGACTGTAAATCCTGGAAGAAGGAAACACTTTGATTTCAGTACACCTGAGCTGCTCAGGGGGCTGTAGCTGAGTCAGTATTGATTTCACCATCTTTGGTACTGACAAAATGTGTCTATGGCAGCAGTAACTTGGTGCATGTTGACATCACCTGTTAAATTCAGGAAATACCTTGGAGGGAGCACACAGAGCTCTCTGTTGCCATGGCTACCTCCACTGCCATCCTCTAAAACCAGTGTCAGTATTTTGGTATTTTGTTCATGTCTGCAGTGGAAAAAAAACCTGAAAATAATAACAAAAATTAAAATTAATTTCACATGCTTATTGTACTCTGGATTACGGGAAATTATGAAACCATAATTTGTCTTAAAAAAGAAAAATCACCGTGCAAGGCACTAAAATGCCAGAGTTGATTTCCACTTTTGTTTAAATTGTACTAATGGTTTATTCAAGATTTGCAGACATTGTTTCATGATTACAACTGGATATTTCACTTGCAGCTCTTCAAACATGACATGATTAAATATAACAGGAGTAGCATTCAACCCACATAAAAATAATCATAATCTGACAAAGTGCTAAGTAAACTTCATTAGTCCTTTTGACAGACTAAGTGAGACTATCCAGAAGCTTTCTTAAGATATTGTGTAGTAGAGCCTATTAAGGAAAGAATTTACTGAAGCTGATATAGCAAAATGTAGTCAGAGAGGGATATAGGGCCTTATTGGTGACATAAGATGAGAAATTATAAAAATATGCAACTGATTAAAAAAACATGATAGAGGAACTGCCTTTTAGTTTATTTCTGAAGTGTTAGGCTTAAACATTTCCTAGACACATGGCAGGAAAGCAGCTATGGGAATAAAAAAAAATTATTAATTCTACAGAACAGCTGTCATTGTTGGTCTGCATATTTTGTAGCTAATTGATTTTTATATTCCAAAACTTGAGGACTATCTAGGAGAGCAAGACTCTATGACCACAACACAGAGACAAGGGCCCTGTGCAACAGTGCTCTGCTTTGCTGGGAACATTGTGAAGCTGGGACAATCAATCCCTCTCTTTCTGCAACAGTACATTGAAATGTAGCCAATTATTATTACCTGGTTTTATCTTCTTTAAACATTAGAAATAATTTGATAATTTAAATTTTAATAAAATAGAATGAAAAAATAGCAATTTTCAAATAAAAAAATCTCAAAACACATTCTGGGTCTGATCTGCAACCTGCCTCATTAACTGCTTTTTGACTACCCATCTCTTAATTAAAGTATTAACACTCAAATAGATTGGATTCTATTGAGTGAAATCAAAGTACCAGCCATATAATCGAGTTGTTGAGCTATTTAGGGAAATAAAGACATATCATATCATAGGAGAAACTCAAGTATGGTGGTCACACTGGAGGATATCAGATACTTAAATAATTCTTCACAATCTTTATGGGAAATCTCATGGAAGGTTTTCTGAAATTTTCTGCTAATTCTTTCTGAAACTTGGATTTTTCTCAAGCCAAGGTCCTACTTCCTAGGGCTACTGTCTCAGTAAAAATGCATAGAACTGGATAGTAACCAACTGGGTACTTCCACAAGCCTGCTGGTATTTGAAGTAAGTGAGGGATTACATAAAAAAAATACACTAAGAGCAATTTAAAATTTACACCTTCAGACAAGTCCATGTCCTCTGCTGCTTTAACATCTAAGTCTAGCACTAAAACTTGAATTTCCTAGCCTACCTATAGTATAGAGCATGTCAAAATAATCAGTTTCAGGAAAAAAAATAAGTTGACTCAGGGAGTCAGGTTTTGCTTTGCCCCTGACAGAGTTGTGCAGTGCATATGTCACTGTAAACTTGTGTCAAGAAGGTTCCAAATGTAGTTTAGGGAATTTAAAATAACTATAGTTGAATCAAAGAGCTTTGATGGCAGATATAATGACATGTTATTTCAGTGAAAAAATTACTGGTGAGAACTGGGGAAAGGTTTTCACAATAATTAGATGTAATAATAGAAGTAGCTGGCACAGCAACATAGCATTTTAATTTCCTTAGTTATTTTTGCACTTAAGTGCCCTCCAACCCAGCAGATAATGGGCAGATCCAAAAGCAAGCAGCTTGCCTCCTCAAAGGCATGGATATAAATCTGGCTGGTTTATACCTGCAGTTTGTGAGACTGCTTCATTCACGGAGCACTGCTCAAAGCACCGTGCAAGGCACCAGGTCAAAGATTGTTGAGACTAAATCCAGGGCCCCAGCAAGGGCTGTCAACTCTTTCATGCAAAAATGACATTGACTGTTCCTGTGGAAATGAACGGCCTGTGAATGGGGACCAAATATGAGAGACTTACTTTCTGCTTCCAGTTATTGATCAAATATATCTGGAAATTTGAATCCAATCACTATTTTCTACTAATAACATTTCCTACTAAGTTAAAATGTAACATCTTCAGCCTAGAAAAACTACTATTCAGGGACAAAAAACTCAATTTTAATGTATAAATTTATGGTATTGGCTGCAGCTTCATTCCAAAAACACAAATCTTGGATAACTTCACCTGGTAGCAAAGGTTGCATACCATCATACAAACAATGAGTAAGTAAAAACTCACAGTGAGAAAGGAGAGAGGCACATAGTAATTTGGAATGGCTAAGAACATAAATATTACCAACCTGTGTGGGAAAAATTAGGCAGATTTATCCCATAGTACCATTTGTTCCCCTCTGGTTCATACAAGATATAGGAATTTTTTTTACAGAAGTGAGTTTGAGGTTATCTCTACAAAGAAACTTAATGAAATGCATTTGGTAGCTTTAGAAAGATGGGGCTCATCAGTGGCTGTTAGGTACAGGGTGGAAACTGCCTGGAGTTGTTGGGCACTGTCAGCATTACAGTGATCTTTTTCCAGAGAATAAGCTGGAAATAGGATAAGGGGAATATAGCTAGCACTGCTTCCACTGCCTGTGCAAACATCCTTATTGAAGCTCATAGCAGAAGGCATATAAAATAACTTTGATGATCAGGCTATATATATTTATCTATGACATTCCTCTGTCAGAGGATCAAATGATTATACTAAGCAAAACTGTGAGCGGTATCTATTTTCACATCTATATTAAGAATATGTAGCAATGCATGCCAGTATTTCTCAGTTTTCATTTATTGTTTTGACATCAGCAAGCAAAAGTGGGTGTCTTACACCACCATATGACAAACAACAGATGATATTGCATGGTCACTGTGGAAACTGCATTTCTGAAAAAGAGGTTCATATCTGTACCTTTTTAATGAAGATAAACCACAGCATTTTTTTCAGTGTGCCTACTGTAACTTTGGTGCCAGATTGCCAGAGTTACAAGTAAAAAGAGGTGCAAAAAATAGCTGGGATTCTTTTCTTTATTTTTTTTTTCTGAAGTCATTAACATCATTCAAAGTTTAAAAACTGTAATATTCTACATGAATAGGAACAGACTTTCCAGCAAGAAGGTGACAGTTCACTGATCTTGGTAAAAGTACATTAAGGACAACAGAAAGCGCTCACTGGTTTTGATGGGAAGTGGTATCCTGACACAGGAAGTAGATTCAAAAATACACATTTTCCTTCATTTGGGATGCACTAGGTATTGATTGAGTGGTCTAGCCAAGGAAGGGTTAGGAGGCTGCTGTAGATTTAAATAACCCTCTTCTATTTACTTTTCAAATTATTGGAGAGCTGTCAGTTCAGTTGATAGAGGCTGAAGGAAGTCTCCTTAGCTGGTGCCTTTGTGAAGTTCTAAGGGTGGATGTGCATGGCCAGGTTTTCTTGTCAATCAGTTGCTGCCAGCTGTGGTTGCATTGGTATAGACTGTTTCTGTGGCTGCATGGGACTGGACTTCTTGACACAGAGTTGTGGTGAATCCATGATGCAAGTCAATTTCAAAGAAGTGAAAAGGCAGATATGAACAGTACACTTGGAGGAGGATGTCTGTGCAGCAGTCTGCAATTATATTTCAACAAGGTGACGTGACCATCTCCACTGTGGCCAGGTACTTTGCTTTTCCCTCTTTTGGTGAGTCCTTTGTATCATATTGAGTCAGATAAAGCCAAAGCCCTGTAGTACAGCATCTGCATATATGCTGTTGAATGTGATGCTGAGCTGGTAGAAAGAAGAAAGTGGTTTCAGTAGGATGTGCCTCTTTGGCAGGGCAGTCTCTGAGAAGCAGGATCAGTTCTTCAGTGGTGTGGTAATGCATGCCTCTAGCAATCTCAAGTAACAGCTCCTTGCAGTGAGGCAGGGTCACATTTGTGTGCACTGAAGAATTTTTAGAGTCAAAGCATGTAGCTCTGTAATTCACTTTAGAGCTTGTCCACTGCAGGAGGAAAAATATTTATGTACTGAGCTTTCTTTTATGTTGCACATGGACTGCTGGGGCTTCTCAAACAAAAAAACCTAGCACAATGAACAAACAAACA